GAGAAAAAATATAAAGTTTTTAATTTTACAATATAATGCATTAACGCAGATTTTGTTTTATATATAAGATTTTAGTTACTGTAAAATATTGTTCATAAAAACGGGTATATATGTCAAACGTAAATCTATAACTTCATCTTTATTCAACAGTTACTCAAGCATATAATTTTTATTTTCTTTATCATAACTGTTATTACTGGCTTGGAGCTATTTGCTTAAGTCCTTCGCTGTCTGCACTTTTCCTGATGCTGGGCGCTTTTGTTACCTTTCTTATCAAATGTATTATATTTGCCTCTTAGCTAAATTTATACCTTCGAATACTGCATTGCAGTATATATTCCCCCCGTGTGTAAGTGCTTACACATAAATTTTATCAACAAACGAAAGCAACAAATTCTTAAGAATTGCAAAGATATATTCATACCCAAACAATGTGTATAGTACTATACACACATCCATTAAAAGATACAACATATAACAGAAAATAAGCTTAATGTGTACATTGTATATTTAAACCAATTTGTATGCTGCGTTGGTTCCGTTGTGATTTGGTTGGCACCTTTCATATATATGTACGTAGCGATGCATCTGTCCTTACTCACATTCATTATATTGGTCTTATTTTTATTACTGTAAAATGTACCACTTCGAGAACGTGGAAAGGTATAACCGTAAAAGACGTACTCCACTACATTTTTACTTAAATTGTTGTGCTTTTTACGACTTCATATCGTATATTGTTTTTTTTTTATACTTGCAACATATCAAAATGCTGCTACTTTTTGGTTTTATCAACAACTTTTCTTTTACAATACTTCGTCAGTTCCTTTTCTTCGCGGTATTGTGTAGCCGTATATGCAGGTTCATTGTTCCAAGACAGTTGCTGAAGAAGTGAAAAAAATGTTCAATAGAAGTATTAAAATTGACTGCTATTGTTGTTGCTATTGTTGTTGTTAGTGTTGTTGAAATTAAGATTATAATCCTTAGAGGACATAAAAGGGAGCTTATTTTTATGTTGCCGTAATTTGAGTATCAATAGAGAACACAATACTACATATTAAATTGTTAGGTATCAGATTAAGTCCCTATTGTTGTTGAGAGAGTTTTTGTGTTGAGTCGAAGGATCATTTAAATGCGCAGTTTTAATTAAAAAAGTGTTTACTACTCGTATCTTTTAAAAGAGTACAAGGTTCAAATGTAATTTGATATTGAATGCATTGTGGGCAATAAAGATTAATGTCCCAAATAAAACTTTTTCTTTAGAATACAATCATTCAGAAAGGGAAGTTTGATATAAACAAAGACAGGAGCTTTCCCTCATCTATAAAAGTAAAAAAATATTTTCAGTTTAAATAAAAACTATATTATTATGTGTAATTACAATAGATTTTGTATACATATATGATGTGCACTGAAGATGACGAAATATTTGTATAATAAATATTTTTAAAACATTAAAAAATATAACCAAAATTAGTAACTGTCCTTATTAATAATTTAAGTATTAAACACATATTTATATATATATTTATGTGAATATAAGTTGTAATTTAACGTCAAATATTCCAGACGAAAGTGACTATTATTTTTAATAGCAAACTTGTTATATTTCATAAAGAGGTTTTTTCGAACAGTAGTGAAATACAACAACAAAAATTTATTTTTTATATTATTTTAATTAATTGAATTTTTGGCTGACCATACAGCTGTTTGAGTATTGCCAAATACCCATCATCAATGGTCTTGGAAATAATTCTTGTATTTAATTATTCATAAATTAATTATTTTTGAGACTACAAGTACCAGGAATCTAACTCGGGTCCTGCCAAATGTGAAGCTCAGAATCAGCGCACCTTAACCCAACTGATCCAAAGCCGTACTTGACTTTTTTGTTCGCATATTTTTCTGGAGTTTTGTTACTATTACTATGAAAGTTTTTATTAACAATTTTACTTGCTGTGTTTATATTAGAACGAAATCATAAACCAGCTGTAGAATAATTGAATTAATTAATTGATTATAATTTTATTTTCAATTGTTAAATTTCAATACTATTCTGTTCGTAGAGGCATTATTTGTTGTATGATTTGTTCTTTCTTATGTATAGAACCTAATCTAGGAACGTAATGCTGAGAAAGTCGTACTAATGTTACTCCACTAGTCGCACGGGCGAGACCAATATTTTGTGAATATAAGTATATATATATTTATATCATATATATATATAATATATGAAGATGCTCTACGAAGTAGATCAAAATATTTGTATAATAAATATTTTTAAAACATTAAAAAGTAGTATACATTAATATATATATTATATATTATTATTAAAGTATTACCTATTATATAGTATTAAATATATACCTCTTATAATTATAAAAAATATCTTTAAAGAATATTTATTTAATGTATATAATATATATATACATTAGAAATTATTTCCATTTTATATATGCTGACTTTTTTTATATGCTTTATTATAGATGAGTGTTGGGCTATTAGTCAGATTTTTTAATTTTGTTTTTTAATAAAAATTATTTTATTGTTTTATTTATTTAATATATATTTCCGACGTTTCGGTTGTCAGGGAAAAAAAAAATTTTTAAAAACATGTGAATAGAATAAAATTTGTATATGAAAAAATTTTTTTTTGACAAATGTTTTAAATAATTACAACGAAGAATATACAATCAATTTATCTTTAGAATGATTTTTCTAGCAATTCACAATAGACAACATAAATATATTCTCTATCTCGCCGCAAATTGTAAGTGGGTCTAGTCATAATATGTAAGGACTCTAGAGTAAGCCGTCGAAACAAGGCTCAGTATCAATGACCTTCACCGAAACAAAATCTGGGTAATGATTTTCATCAAGAAAATGTGAGACCAAAGCTGATTGTTTATCAGGATTAATTTGTTTTAGACTATTTTTATGTTAACTTATTCTTTTATGTAACTGATTTTTCATTTGGCCAATATAGCAGAGTTCACATTTTTGACCATTATTATCAGTCTCAGTTCATGGAATTTCATAGATACAATTAATAATGTTGTTCGTTTCAATACGATCTTTCATTATTAACATTTAAAATTTATTGAAACAATATATTTTAATTTATGAAATTTATTTATTTAATACCCTTTAAAATAACATTAAGGTAAAACAAGTGCAAATTATTTTAGAAGACTTTGTTTTAATAATAGATATGAAAAAGACATCTGACAGATTTGTATAATAATATTATTTATATATCTTATCTTTAAACATATAGTATGTAGTGTTTTATATAATAATGTTGAGTAAGACAACTGATCATAAATTTCTACTTATAAGATCAAGGTTACCTTAGTGTTACTGCCTCTCTTCAGCACATATGCCTTTCTTAACATTTCATCTTTAATATTTTTAAAAGAGACTTACTATTGAAATCAACTGGTTAAAGAGCTTTTTCAACTTGCTGTAAAATGAAGTATTGTGCTATATCCTTGTATAGTATACAATAATAATAGTTACTAAATAACTACGGATATTAAACTAACCGCTCTTGTAATATGGTCTGTATTGATATTAGTCCAAAGTTATTATGTTGTCCAAAATATAACCGAGAATTTTGTATTTCATAAAAAATATGTGACTCTAAGGGTGTATTTTTATTGAATAAAAAATTATTGAATCCTAAAAAGACTCTAGTTAAAACAACATTAAATGTCCATGGCTCAATGTATCAAAAACGATGCTTAAGAGAATTCATTTCTCTCTAGATTATCTCTAAATATGAAAATCAAAATCTAAATTTGTGGAATAAATTTAATATAATGTTTTAGTGCGATTTAAATTTCCTTGATGTATTGTTATTAAACATAGTAAATTCTAATATTTTTACAATTTTTTTCCTGCTGTTATATATTATTTGTCTAACTAAAATATCCTTTTAATAGTAACAAATTACTTCTTAGTAGGATATTAATTTTTTTTATTTCGGATATATTTAAATTTAAACTATATTAGAACTGCTTGAAAATTGCTTGTTTTCTAAAAAAATATAGTTTGGTCAGATTTGTTAAGATTATACAGATTTTATTAGCATATTAGATCATTAGGCTTTCAGCTGTTTAATATCTCCAATAACACATTACTTTTTTTTAATTCCTAACCAGCCTCTGCTAAACATTACACAGAAACACCAATAATTACTTAGATACTTAAAATACCAAAAAAATTTCTGTCTAACTAAAGCTTTTTTTAAATAGTTTCTTATCAGATATAGACCTATCTATTTCATGATTTGTATCCATATCTTCACAATTATTATAATGCGTACAAAAAATAAGTTTCCTTTTAAAAATATAGCAGCTGTTTCGGTTTATATGGATGTATGTAAATATGGACACCTATTTAAAACATAGGTGTGCGTGGTAAATAAACAAATGGGCCTAAGATATGTTGGCGCTGAAGTTGTGTTTTATAGTACTGACAATATGATTAACCAAACCGAGATGTACTGATTGGTGTTGTCGCGCATCATGGCATTATCGAAACATATTCACTTTTAGTTGCATGTCCATTGATGCCACCGTATCGTACCGGTAGTGACATTGAGGCAAACAAGGCTAACTAACCTCAGTGTTAATTTCCATTTTGTTGTGTTGAACAGCTTTTTTAATCCCCCCCACAATGATGGTTTCTGTTATCAAACTTCCCAAAATATTCCAGACTTGATCATATGATAAAAAGCCCTGTGGTTTTCTGTGAGGTGTTGCAAAAAAGGGGGTCCGTTGCTTATATAAATCAAATATGAACTAAATACTTTAATTCACCATGTTGTAAACGATTTAACAAATTTAATTTTTTAACATACTATGAGTATGAAGCGTGGATTTTTTACAAACTTGTTATATAGATTTTAAACTTTAAGTTTGCCTTGATTTTAAGAAATAATTTTAAAAAAATTAGTGAAAACTAATAATTTTTTTTAAATAAAAATAAAACGGAAATAAAAGAGTTTTAAATTCTTTTAATTTACTGTATAAATCTTTTTATCCTGCAGTTTTTGCTTTGTCTAAGTATTGATTGAGAACACAGTCAATATGAATGGTGAGGACGACGTTCTGACCGCGGACCAATTGGAAATATTCAGGGAAGCTTTTGCAATATTTGATAAAGACGGCGATGGAACAATTACAACTAAGGAATTGGGAACCGTCATGCGTAATATTGGTCAGAATCCCTCAGAAGCTGAACTGCAGGATATGATCAACGAAGCTGATGCTGACGGTAATGGAACTATTGAATTTGATGAATTCTTAGATATGATGGTGCAAAAAATGAAGGCGAATGATGGTGAACATGAAATTCGTAGAACATACCGTGTCTTTGATAAAGATGACAATGGTTTCATAGCGCCTGCTGAGCTTAGACATGTAATGATTAATTTGGGTAAAAAGTTAGACGATGATGAGGTAGAAGAGATGATGCACGAAGCTGATGCAAATGGTGATGGATTTATAGACTATGAAGAATTCGTTACCTTGATGACTAAAACTTTATAAAATTCTGCATATATCTGGTTGCAAATAACAAGTTAAATAGTTAAAATATATTTTTCAACAGTTTTTAAATTGAATGCTCAAATCAATTTTAGTAACAAAATGGCTAACAATTCTTTAAAAGTAAAAAATGAAAATGAGGATATTTTGGAAAGAAAAAATTAATATATAGAATTATTTGAGTGGTTCTACACTTCAAACGATTTTTCAATGTTGAATTTTTATGTTTAATCTTTTTTGATTATACTAAATACAATTTCCCTTGAAACAAACAATTCACGTAATAAACTCTTTTTTTTCCGTAACAACGAAGCCCATTGAGTTTTTTTTTATTTTAGCTTTTTAACTTATTAACTTTCTGCATTGAAATCCAACAAACGTCACAACTTTATTTAATAAATTTTTTTTTTCTGATTTCAAACAATTTTATACTACCTTTTTGCAAAGAGTTTGCAAAACTCATAAATTAGTCTGAAGCCACAATATTTCAACAGCATTCATGAAATACTTTGACGTACGTATAACCAACGACGAATGAGCAGTGAAAAGTGAGTGGATAAAGACCAAAATTTTTAAACGGGATTTACAGAAGTTGGTTGGTTTCTACTCCTTGATTCTTTTAGTGGAAATGTAAATGATTTGTTTGTAATTAAAAGGGCGTGCTGTATTTGGTTTTTATATGTGCACTCGTACGCTGTTTTAGCTCAACTGAAAGTTTGAAAAAATGCGTTTAAAAGGTCAAAGAAAAGTTAAATACACTTAAAAAAATTATAAGTACTATTGCTCCATTCAATGTTGTTAGTTCGGAACAGAAAATTATGCTATTATTTAAAATATAAAATTTTGTAAAAAATAATTTGTAAAAAAGGAATTATTCAATATTTGCTTTTATTATTATATGCTATTTGTTTTTTTTTTTTCATAGTTTTATTTTTTTAAAGTGTAATTTAGTTCAACACTCACCAAATTATAATTCATTTTAATTTGCTCAATCAGAAAATTATACTACCCTCCTGGCTAAAAGACATTCCATACGTACACTTTAAAAACCATTAAGCACCCAAACGCCCACAACCAACAAAACAATAACGTTGAAGTCTCGGCGATAACAACAACATTGAGTGATGTACTTTACTGATGCATTGAAGTTTATGTTATTGTGATAGGATAGCATAGCTAGGCTAGAGCTGCCCCTTTACAGCTGAGATGACGCCAGTGCCCCTAGAATAACACAACGCAATATCCAGTGGTACTACTAAATAACGAATAAAAAGTTCAATTTTGCAATATCAAACCAGGCGATCCGTAAGTGGGGGAGGGTCTTGTGGCCATACATGCACATACACAGATTTTATTTAACCATTTCGCCACATTTTGCCCCGCGCATGTTTTACAACTGCGACTAAGTAAAGTGTTATAATAAGGATGCCAGACAGCAATAATTGTATTTGCACAATATTTTTGTCAAGCCTAAGTTTGTATGTATATATATGTGTATGTGGTTAAATGGATTTTCATATAATTTGAAAATATTGGAGTGACTTACAGTCATTGCTGCAATGGGGGCGGCATAATGGCTTACGTTTTAGATGTTTAAGCGAAACTAAACAAATACATTAGTACCTAATGTATATAGGATACAAAGTTAGGCATATACCTACCACCTATACGAGCATATGGGTTTGCCTGCGGCGCAAAGGAAGTACAATTTTATACTACATTGATGTTTATAGACTTCGATGTGTGATGCTCTTGTTAGTGCTGTCATTGGCATTGGTGTTGGCAGGTATAACTCATCGAAGGATACGGAAATAAAAGAGTACGTACTATGTTAACCATAAAAACATGATAGTTGTGTTGGATAATAGTCGCCGTTTCAGACATGGTATAGATTAATAATATATTTTACGATGAAGTTGTAAAGTATGCAAGTACAAACTTTGATATACATGTGGATAAGCTACTCGATAATTTATACGCACAATTTTAACAGTAAAAAAGTTAACAAAGTGAAATAATTTTAAATCATTTAACAGAAATATATAAAAATTTAAAGCAGATTTAGCTTTTCTTTAAAAAGGGGAATACGTGCCTAAAGAAAGTATATGATATACCACGAACGATAATTTGCACCAGGACTTTAAAATCTACGCTTTATAACGAAGAATATATATTCATAACAACGGAAGTATATAAAGATATTAAGCAAATTCAGCTTTTCTCTAAAAATGGCGATGCGTGCCTTAATAAAGTATAGAAATAACTCAACGTTTTCAATCAAAAATGTGCATATAGTAAGAAAACTACTATGTGTACCACGAGCGATAAATTACACCAGGTCTTAAAAATCTGCGCTCTATAACAAAGAATATACATTCATAATAACGGTTACTTAAACCATCTTAATAGTCATTTAAACGTTATATGTCACGCAGTTCCGAATCTTTCTAAAAAGTCCTGACAATAATAAAGAGAGGATGAGACGAAAATGAGACAGAGAAAGGCGGAAAAATGGAGAAAAAAGGTAGAAGAGAGAGGTAAGAGAAATAGTGAGGGATGTGGTAAAAAAGAGGCAGAGAAAAACTTCAGAAGTCCTGATAATGGCGCGAAAGACGAGAGAAAGAAGTACGAAAATGGCACATGAGAAAAAAAAAGTTAAAAAAATATCTACATTTATTTCAACACTTTAAATCAACTTTTCTATGATAGAAAACTCTTCATTTAAAACTAACGAAGAATAAATGAAAAATTTTACAATTTTAATCAGTTACTGAACATAGTACAAATTATGCACTGAGTGCTTGCGTGGGTGGAGCGAATGTGTTAATTTCACAATTAATATTGTTTACATTTGCAGTATATGGTAAATGATGTCGAAGATTTTTTATTTAAAATGGTGTTGTGCAAAGTCTGTTATTATAATATATATTTACATAACGTACAAAAATATGTATTTTTCCACAAAAACGGAAATAATATTTTTATTGAAGCGTAAAAAATGTAAGTTCTACTTAAATTAACTTAACTAGAAATAAAATGCTCCTGCAGGAAATATAAAATAGATGAGCCTATTTTGCCTGTTCATTTTAAAAGTACTAACAACATATTTTTTATATAGCACAAGTGTCTTAGTAAATTGCAGCTCATAAATTGTTGTAAATACCTTGTTTGCGACGCCTTTGAGGCAAATTTTAATTTGCAGTTAATGATTATGAAGTCAGTAAATTTAATCCCAGCTGTCCTTCGTATTATTGCATTATGGCCATCTTAAATGATTACGAATAAATTATAAGAGCAGTAATGAAATGTTTGCAGTGTATGTTAAATGTAAGCTTACAATAAATTGTATAGTTTACTAAAATCAAAGAGAAAATTTTATCTTGGTTGTACAAATTGATTTAATCGGATTTTAATTTACGAACTTAAAAAGACAGAAATATTTACTCTATCTCAATTAATATAGTATTACGATTGCAATATGGGATTTAAATAATCCATTCAACAATATCCTTCATATTTTACTTAATTTAATAC